GTTGAGTTTTTTTTTCTTTCAAATCATTCTTTTATTGTACATTTAGAAACTTTTTACAATATTTATTTTTTTTTTCCATTTTTGGCAAGGATACAGAATGCTAGCTGGCGAACATATTGAAAATGACAACGTGGCGTATGAGTAACGCGTACGGAGGCGCACTCGTAAATGAAGCGTTTTAAGGCAAAAATGTAAATAAGCACTCCTCAGTTTCTTAACCAATAACCAAAAAGTGACTTTATCTTGACAACGTCTAAAATGGAATTTTCATATCCTTCGTGCTTAGATATTTGTGTTGTGATAGCACTCTTGTGCAGGGATTGACGTGTGAGGTGTGTGTGGAGCATACCTACCACCTACGCCTTCATAAAATATTCAAACGAGGGCCAAAACTTTTCAGACGGAAATAAATATGCGAAATACTTTACTTTTTATTCTCTTCCGTTTATTTTGTTTGTTTTGTTGTTTGTTTTGTTGTGTTGTTTTGGGAAAGTTGTTGAAGGAATTTTTGGCAAAAGTTGCCAAAAGTTAAAAAGTAAAGTTTATAAAATTCCGAATACCGAATTCCGACTTGTCTTGTCGAAATGTAATCAATCATAAATTTTAATACACCATCACACATTGTCTATGCGAGTTGAGTTAGCAGTGATGACGAATATTGAAATTGACTAACTTTTTAAGTGTCGATTTTGTCGGTTTCCTTTGCGTGTTTTGTTTACAAAAGTATTGAATTGAATTAAATTGAAATTCAGTGCAAACAATATTCACACCCGAAGAAGGTATCTCATCTATTCTAACGTATGAACTTTAACAGCTGCTAAGTAAAAGATGGGGCTCAGTGAAGATCGGAATAATAAATCACTTAGAAATCAATTTTGGAAAAACTTTATTAAAAAATTTAAGTCAGTTTTTATTGACACTTAAAATTCTTAAAAAGTTGTACAATAAAATATGTTTGTATACACAATATATTCATATGTTACATAAATTCGTTTTTAAGTGCATATATAAATATTAGAAGAATACATGAGCTCATACATATATGAAAATGTTTTCCTTTTGATTACATTTGAATAAATTCTTTAGGAATAGGAATAAATGGGGTACTAGCTCCCGACGGAGCAGAGCACTGCAAACAGATTAATCTTTTGTGCTGCAACAGACCCTAACCGAACAGAAGACATTCCGCCTTCCGAATGAAGGCCAGAATGTCATCCGCTGAGACCCTCCTAGTGTCACAAGGGGAGAGCAGCTCTCCTCCCAGTGACCATATCCTGGCCCAGATCAAGGCTGGACAGTCAAAGAGAATGTGACTGGAAGTCTCGTCTACATCTACGCAGAGTCAACACTCCATCTCTTTGGACAGACCTATTTTATTAAGGTGATAACGCACTCAATGGTGACCCGTTAAATATCCCACCAGCAATCTCAACTCTGTTCTGCTGAAGAGGGATGCCTTACCATAACTGTAGGGGTGAACCGGCTGTTTAGCCTGACGTTTGCCTCGACTGTCGCACCAATAGCGACTTCTCTCGGCTGAGATTCATTTGTCCATTAGAGACCTAGTTGTAGACCAACTTAATTCACAATAAGGTTCCGGTCCACAGATTTGAGTGGCAGATCCTGCCCTCGCAAGACTCGCAAGATTCTTTAATGCATCAACGAATTTTGAGTAGTACAGGTTTATCCACTTCACGATTCTGAAAGTAAACATAAATAACATAACTTACCACCTAGATTTCGTATAAACTTTTATTTTAGTATATGATGAGAATATCAAGCTAAAAGATTTATTATAGGTATGAAATACAACATCATTTAAATAGTCCCCACAAGACATCTTATAGTGCAAATTTTAACTGCTTGAACATTGTAATACTAGATTCACACGAGAGTTTTGTTCGTAATTTTAGCTGTTAAAAATTTTTATTTTGCATTGCAAGCAACACCAATTGACAGCTAAAATTACAAACAAGACTCTCGTGTGAATCCAGTATTACAATGTTCAAGCAGTTAAAATTTATTCGATTGGGTCAAACTCTTCAGATGTTAGAGAACGCGCTAAACTGAAGTGTTCAAACTGCTGGAACAGCTGATCTTGTTTATGTCAGCTTTTATTTTAATTTTGTGTTATATATATACGTTTAATAGCTATATTATCTTAAGGAAATAGTCGAACACAAGTATAATCAATCAGCAAAATAGTCAAAGATGTGAACAGTTTGAATAACATTTGTGACTTCAATCTGGATTAAACTTAGCATTATATACTAAGGTTAACTTTCAGAAAATAAAACAAGCTTACAGAGATTTTAACACAACTTTCAAATTAAACTAAAAGATATAGAAAAGCTTTACTTAATATAAATTGCGTTATAAACAACTTTTGTTTTTAAACAATTTAAGTTAAAAAATTAATTTTAATATATTTTTTTTAATATTAATTTATTAAATAATTTACCCCGTAATAGTATCGTTGAGTGAATACCTATAGAAACAAAAAGTTTATATATATTCATATATTGTACTATTTGTATATTATTCGTTTTGTATATTAATTTTTATGATTTTAAACATTTACCACACACTATATAAATCCATATATATGTATTAGTTGAATAATTTTTACACTATTTCAATTTATATTTTACGGATTATTTTATTTCACTACATATTATTTTCAAAACTTTTAAAACATAAATAAAATTATTCATATATAATATAAGACTACTAAAAAATGTATAATAAAACTGTTTTAGTTATAGTGACAATGGAATCAGGCAATGACGGAAAACAAATTAATTATTTAAATAAATATAAATTAATAACAAAATTAATTAATATATTGGTATTGAGTGACTTACCCCGTAATAGTGCCTCA